GCATTTTCACACACAGGCTTGATGAGCAATCTGTTAGTCCACACTTAAGGAATGACATTAAGTGGGCAGACCAAGGTCATATATTTTTTTCAAAGTGGTATAATATGTATCCTGTTTAAAAAAGTTTCCATCAGTTTATGTGTGTGGTGCCTCGTGCTGTAACCATTCGCCAGGTGTGCTGGGTATTGTCAGTGCTCTCAGTATCAGTTACTGGGCTCCGAAGCTACACCGTGCTGGTCTGTGTGGGGCGACCGGGGGAGAAAGGGGTGTCTGTGTCTCTGGCAGCTGTGAGCCAGGCTGGGTTCGACTTCAAAACAGCTCTTGTAACCAGACCTCGGTGCCGTTCCTGAATTATTCAGACTGCTGAGGGCAGGTGTGTGTGTGTGTGTGCAGGTCTGCCTGCGTTTCTGAGGCCCTGATCTCAGACAGTATCCTCACGGAGGCGGAGACTCCTGAGGAACAGACATTTATAAACTGCAAAATCTAAAAGTGACAGAATTATTTGGGTCTGTTTTCTGTCTGTGTTGAGGCTGACTCTTGGCATAGTGGAGAGTAGTGAATAAAACAGAACAAGAGTCAAAGGAAGTGGTCCTGTTGTATAGAAATATGAAGGTGTGTGCATGTGTACATAATCATAATTGAATTAATAGTTTCTTACACTTATATAGCGCTTTTCTGGACACTCCACTCAGAGCTTTTTACGGTCAATGGGGATCCACTCCACCACCACCAGTGTGCAGCCCCACCTGGATGATGCACCAGTCTGCTCCCCACACACCAGCTCTCAGTGGGGAGGAGTGATTGAGCCAGTTCAGAGATGGGGATTATTAGGAGGCCATGACTGGTAAAGGCCAGGGGGAAATTTGGCCAGGACACTGGGGTTACACCCCTACTCTTTTCGAGAGTCACCCTGGGATTTTTAATGACCACAGAGAGTCAGCACCTCAGTTTTCTGAAGGACGGTGCCTTTTTACAGTATAGTGTCCCTGTCACTATACTGGGGCATTAGGACCCACACAGACTGCAGGGTGAGCGCCCCCTGCTGGCCCCACTAACACCCCTTCTAGCAGCAACCTTAGTTTTTCC